CTGACGTTGACTGACACGACTGCTTTGCCTGGCCCTTGTGAAGTCTGAACAGCCGAAGGCCGATTGGGGGGGGGATAGACAGAAAAAAAGCAAGCGCAAGCTTTGATACGCGGCAAACAACGGCCCTGCCTCTCCTTGCGTTCGTTTTCCCGGCTTGGCTTTTTGGGGAACGAAATTGCCATGTGGTTCAGGATGGGGCGTTCTCCAAGGTTGCAATATGCTTCCACCAGAATGTTCCATCTCACCGGCGGACCGTCGAATTTCGGTCGACCCTTGTCGACCAATTCGAGTCTATCGCCTTACGGGGGCTGTTAGCGCCACCTTTGTCTCCCTTCGCTCATCTCTTCAGGAGAGAGCCTCATTAATACGAGGCAATGTGTTGTGAGATGTAGTCAACTGTCAACGTCCCGTAGCGTTTTACCCTTGATCGATCGCGTCACAGAATGATTTGATGAGCGCTAGGCCCCGAGCATGGCCCAAGTTCCGAAGCCGATGTACGAATACCCAGTGTATATGATCGGCTTATTTCGCGAGGTTGCATCGCGGGTCCTAGTTGTGGCAGAAAATGGCTGCACTATCAAGTTTCCAGGGCCTCGTCCAGAACTCCAGATGCATGGGGTGTCATTCATCCTAGCAATAAGAGCATCGTCAAACAAGATGATGTACAAGCAGGCGCGCTGATTGGAACCCACAACGGCGGATTTGCTTACACGTTCAAAGCAGCCCCGGGCATTGCATGAATAGATCGGCCCCGTGAGTGGCAGGTTGACCTAGCCTCGCATGTTTGAGGTGCGTTGCAAACAACATCGGATCACTGCAAGAGTCCAAGCTCAAGGGCAGGCAGAAAAAAATAAAGTAAAGTCGCACAAGACTTTTTCTGGATAGGATTGCTGAGGTCACGTCGGTGGTGATCACTACGAACCCTGTCTGAGCGGAGCAAGCCGCGCTCGCGCAGCTGAATACGCGGTTGACTTGCCTCATGTAAAAGTTTGACAGGAGCGTAGTGCCTAGCACGTCAAGACCGCGGGGGACCTCCGCCGCGGTCTACTAGAGACAGTGACACCTGATTGTGCAGCAAGTCTGTGGTAGACTGAGTCTCAGGTCCGTGAGCCATGCTTGTTTTTCTCGTGATCTCTCGGCTGCGGAGGCGAAGTGTAGTGTGTAGCGGACCACATCCTCCCATGGCTCTCGTCAAAGGGTATAGAATGTGCGTCCTCTCGAGCAAGGAATGCCGCCATCTATTGAACGTGCGACCGATGGAATGAGAAATGTTAGCTTGGTTGCGTCCGCATCTGATTACAGGGTTGGCTGGCGAGCCGATGGACACCCCCTCAGTTGGCCATGAGAAATGTCTTGCTCGTCGAGCACGCCTCCATTAAAAGGAATTCAAGAGTCGTCGCTCCGAGTGTCACCAAACGCATGCCAAAGCTTGCCATGGTGGCTCACGTGGACGGCGGCGAACTCAATTCAGTGGCCGGCGTCTTGATTTGATTCCCTCGACAACAGGATGTCTTCGGAACCCAAATGCCTCAACTCAATAATTCAAACCAAGTGCAAGCATTCCCCGAATCCATTGCGACGGCGTTCTTTCAATCTGAATACTGATACGAACACGGTGTATGTCACGATCGACACATCCAGGTCGGGCCCGAGGCCGGCGAGAGGAAAAAAAAAACACCCGACAGAAGCATGGTGTTTCCTCTCGATGCTGCGCTGTTGTCAGGATTCACACTTTGAAAGATCCAATAGACAACGGTCGCGAGTACTAAAGTCTTTGGCGTCCAGCAGAGATGTAAACAACCACAAAAGCAAGCTACTCTGGAGAGAACTTACGGATAGAAGCCACATTTAAAAGCAACCATGTCTCTTTTGTCCAGCGAATCAGAGGCGAAGATTGAGAACACTCTTCGCTGTTATGTCTGAAAGCACAGACGACGGCGTGGCTCCGGCAGCGAGCTTAATCCCGAAAGGCCTAGACAGTCGGAGTGCCAATCTGCGTGAAATCGAGCGCATGCCTAGATTGACAACCCTGCCACATCGGATTGGTTGGCTTGATCCTTGCCTATGCATGCATAGAGTATGTGGATTTCGACCGTCGCAAACCCTCTGCAGTCTGGCTGAGCCAAGTAAGTCAGCTAAGGACGACGCAGTGATGGCGCGACATGAGGCCATAGTTCTAGTAGCTCTCTGTCTGCGGGGGACGCAGGGAGAAGTGCTTGACGGGCGTCTCCAGTGTGACTGTGCTAGACATCAACGAAATGGAGGAAAAGCAATGAGGGTGGTGGTGGTTGTTCAGACGCAACCAGCCAGGTAGGAGAAGGATTCAGTGACGGTCTCCGTGATCGTCTTGGGTCGATGAAATCATTTCCGTCCCTTGACCTGGTGAAGACCAAAGCTCCACGTTGTTTAAGTGAGATGGAAGAGCACCCCAGAAAAGCCGAGATTGGGCATGTGCGTCTAGGTATTGCGGAGGGCGGATACGGATGCTCGTTGCAGCCTTGTTCTTGAACACGGAGCGGCATCCTGCTTCATCTAGATTGAAGGATCAGCAGCGGACGAGGGAGCGCGGCCCTATGTGCTGACTGCCGTTTCACAATCAAGTCTCGCCCGGGAACTCCCTGTGGATTGATGGTCCTTTGCGCTAAGCTGGAACACAGACAGACGGAGCTGAGGCTTGTGTCGCCAACTCACTGGTGGTTCCACGGCTGCTGCTCCCTAGACTACGTGGCTGGAGCGAGCCTGTCTCGACTCCCGAGCGGCTGGAGCTGGAGAGGATGTGCACCCTTGAGCTGTTGTGACTCGCCGGACGGAATTCGGATGGTTGGGAATGACTTTGAGGAATTGTTTCTCTGAAATGTGCTGGCCAAGGGAATGCAAGCGACACTTGTCTGGTAGCAAAAGGCAGCTGTTTGGACTTTCTACCGTGAGGGAGGTCTACTTTGCCAGCTCTGGGTTTGCCGTATACTTTGTATATCGCTTCGTCTTTGATTGTGTTCGTCCCGCTTCCAGCCCTAAGCGATGATGACTATCTCTCCTTCAGCAGTCGTAAACATCTCTCCCTCAGCCCACTGCCACAGGGTGGCTGGCGTCCCAGGCAATGGTGTGGTCGCTGAATACTGGTCTCTTGCTCGTCTGATGATGCTAACCACAATATGTGGCCATCAGTTTCTCATCTGCAGTAGCGGACACAGTTGGCGCCTGGGACCGGGTGAGAGACGAACAAGGTTTGGGAAAGTCGCAGAAGCGAACCACCGCTCTTTGGTCTTAGCACGGCGGATAACAGTGGTGGTCTACCAGGAGCGTCACCGAATCGGGAATACATGTAATGCAGAGAGCAAAATAGCAACAGCGCAGTGTCGCAGAGATTGGAGAGTCGGGATGAATCCAAGAGTGAGACTGATATCCAGCAAGAAGGTGAATGTGGACAGGGACTACTCGGACAAGGGCCAAGGGCCGAGACTGGGACGGGCGGGCAAAAAAAGGTGTGGAGAGAGGGAAGGAACGAGTTGGACGATGAGATCTGATGGATGCGCTAGCCCGGCTCCGGTAAGCGTTATCCGTGATCGATGCAGTTTCTGCAGAGTGCAGACCGCTTGTTTCTTTTTTTTGAAGTGCTGCCTGAGGCATGACAAGCAGGCAAGCGTACAATGTACATAGTTGTGATGCCATGAGGCAGGCAGGACGTAGGCACTGTGGGGCATCTCAGGCAGCCAGCCACACGACCAGTTGGGGGTTTATGCATTGTGAGTACGGATACTTGGTGGCTAACAGATGGCAAATGGCAGGTGGCAGCTTGTCAGGTGGCAATGTGGCAATAAGTACCTAGGTGCAGCTACCTTATGGGAAAGTGAGTCAGGAACAGGAGACAGCCACAAACAGTGACCCACTTGCTGTTGCGCTCCGTGGCTCCTTCCAGCTCCTCCTTGCTCCTTCTTGTGCATGTGGCCTCAAACCAGATGTGGCGCCTTTTTCCCTGATTGGCTGCGAGGGCTGCTGCCATACTGAGTGAGCACGTTGTTGGTTGGAGAAGTGGCAGGGCGGGGCGGCAAGGAAGGAACTCCAACGGAGCAACATCAGAAGGAACTCACTATGGTAGGAAGGACCAGCTTTTGTCAATGTCTGTGCAGTGTAAACCTCAACCCTCGCCCTCATCTTGCCCTCGTACCGCCCTCGTACATCCTTATCGTCGCTCCTTGCAGGCTCGCACGTCGTCTTGATTCTACCTACGGGATCCATTACCATCTAGCTGTGAACTTTTTTTTTAACTTTTTTTTTTTTACTGTGTCTTGCGTTTGGACATTGCACGCGCGCTTGGAGACACTCAGATATTTCGGTCTCCCTACGGCGCAGCGGCAGCACATCACCAACCGTGCAGCTAATTTCCGCGGTCAACGCAGATGAACCGATAAACCATGCTCAATTTGAGATTTGCGTCTTACTGTGTACAGTGATGAGCAAACCACCGTGACTACCCGGAGAACCACATTCACGAAGCCATGGGCTGGCCCAGACTGGATTATCGCGGCACGCAGCACATCACCACTGTTACCGCACGGTAGAGAACTCCATCAAAGCCCTTCCTCAGCGCAGTCTGACATTATCACATCAAACTCGCCGCCAATCAACTTAAGTCGATCTCAACAGTGGCATCATGGCGCGTCAAATCACCGTGAAGACGCGGATCATGAGTCTGCTTTGCCAATCTCCTGAGCGACATCTACCAATGATAAGTGGTACCGAGTCACCAACAACCCATGAGAGAGAGGCGCCCGTGAAATCGAGACTCGGACGGTAGACCTGAGAGAACCCAGAGCCTGGCAATCTGCTCCGTACACTGGCAGCGGGGGGTTGGCAGTCTGGGACTTCACAAGTTCGCACACGATGCTACACTGCATCGTGAACCACGGGCGCTATGATACAACTGGACGCCCGAAATTGCCTGTTGGGCTGGCGAGATCACCCTCTGGCCTCTGCAGTCCAATATATGGGCCCTTCACATCATGATCCATCATAGCTCCGTCGTCGACAGCCTCACTCGTCGGGAGCCTGCGCCTGGGGATCCCTGTGTAGCGGCCCCGTCAAGTCGTTACGAGGCTGCTCTCTCCCTCTTCTGCCAGTCTGCTTCTCTAGACTCTACCTACCACTCTCGAATGGCCCGGACTGGCCAGTGGCACGCACAAATGGACTACGCTAGAATGGCACAAGAGACGCTGCGCATCACACGGACCACACCTCTTTTTACACCACCCATGTCTTGTCGACAGTCGACACTCGCCGTGTCGCCTGCATCGCTGTACCAGAATGACACACAATGATGGCCTCAGGCACACGTACTTCAACATCAAGCAGCCCTGACAGCGAATCAACCCCAGCCAGACCCTCCCCGTTCTGCCCGTTTACCGCTCCGGGCCACACAGACGTGCAGCTTATTGCTGCAGACTGCAAAGACGCATGTACGCATACCAACCAACGCAGCATTGCGGCGTCCACCAAGCCTGGGGGGGGTCAAGTGTACTGCAGAGAAACCATAGACGACACTTCCCGTCCATTCAGCGCTCGGCATGCTCAGGTTGCCTCTCCACTTTCTTTTCATGGAACTCGATCCTGGCCCGTCCTTTCAAACGGTCGTTCATAATCTCAGGCCCATGTGCGACCCATGACCACGTTGGCCGCCGTCACTGGCCGGGATCGAAAGGCCGCCCATCCAGAGGCAAACCGAATCCTCCATCGCCCTGAGACTCCACACGCACCGAATCCAGGCCTGTCCCTCCGCTTGCCGTCCGCAGGTGCTGGAGTTGCCGCTGCATCGCCTCCGGCCAAGGTGGCCTCGGGGACGAGAGCGAAGGCCGACAAAGGCTTTTGTTTGGGAGTTTCGAGGCACCACATTTCGTCGTCTATGGAGGACACAGAGATAGACACACAGAGAGAGAGAGAGGAGAAGAGGAAGGCTACTGTGTCCTTTCAAGTCTACTGGGCTACCCCCAACGCCCTGTAACCGCCAGACATGACCCACGGCCCCGACTCTGGTCGTACTACTGCTCTATCCCTCCCTCTCTCTCTGTGCTCTAGTCTGCCGAGACAGGTCCGGCTTGACCGGCCATGACGGCCCACGACCAGCCAGAAAAGAAAAGAAAAAATCATCGCGATGATCCGCCCCGCCCTCAATCGTGAGGCGAATCTGCTCCATCTTCGAGTCGGCCTCAACTCGGCCTCGAGCCACCAGCCGCCAGCAGACATAGCCAGCAAAGCTCATGGGGTTTTTATCATTGGGGTTGGTGACACCTACCTACGCGGCCTTGCACACGCGGACAAGTGCACCATTCACTGTATGCCATGCAAAATGGGCATGCAGTTTACCCAGTCTTGCGCATCGCTTCGACCATACAGAATACTTAGTTCGGCACCAACTACTTTGATGGTCGCTTGCGTAGAACATTATTCTTTGGCTTATGCATGCTAGCAGTTATGTTATGATGTTGACGAAAGCGCATTGCAACAATTGGTTGGTCATAGGTGACCTTGTCGGCGCCAAGGGCGATCTACACTGCGTGGTACGCAATTTTTGCTTACAGAGAGTGGTGCAGCCACAAGATGGAGGATGGATGACTGCTTGCAAAAAATGAGGAAGCCAATCAACGCCCCTGAGACGGCTGAAAGGGAAGGAAGAGATGGGGCATCCTGTGAATCTGTTCAGCATTGATCAGTCACCAGCCTGCCAGGCAGCTTCTGCAACAGAAAGGCTGACCGGCCACCGAAGCCCACACTCATCGACTCCCGGACTTCATGCAAACAGCTTGCCAAGCGCCACCGAGGTTCCAACGTCAGCTACGAGACAGTGACAGTGAGCCAATCAGGTCCTTGATGGCATTCATGGTGTCTGGGCATCCCAAGTCGACCGCTCACAGTCGGTGTTTGGCGACAGTCACAGATTGCCCTGTCGTTAGCTCTAGCCGGTGTCAGCAGCGCCTCTCTCAACCATGAACCACGCGGCATTGATGATGATAGCTCTAGTTCAATATATGGGACTCTGCAACAAGCCATAGCATACCACGTCTCCAGACCAGGCCAAAAGCTCCCAAGTCGCGGTGAAGGCAAGACGTGTCTCATTCGATCATCGTTCGACTGCGATTCCATGCCTGGTTCCGACGTTCCGCAAGGGGATTGATTATGTTCAAGCGTGAGGCTTTCCTTAATGGTCCTGCACAACGGGGACGTTCGCCCTGCGCTGCGGCGGGCGAGCGAAACAAGGGCAGGTTGAAGAGAGAAGAAGGAAGAAAGCTGCACATCACAAGTCACAAGATACCTATGACGATGGCTCACTCAGTGTCACCCAGGGAGGGCGAGCAGATCAGAAAGAGCACAGAGCAGAGACCAGCTACAGCACTGGGCCCTCGATCGACAGTGAATAGCTGAGAAGGGAAGTGAAGTGAAGGGAAGGGAAGGGCAACAGAGTGTCTGTGTTCCCTCGGCCAGGGTCGTCCCATGAGGGCCTGGGAGGCGACGACTCACGCACGCCCCATTTCTTCGACACCCATCGACCATCCGTTTCGTCTGACACACTCATCCAGTAGCGGTGGCAGGGGTATATGGAGCACGGCTGGGGGTGGTGGATAAGAATCACCACACGAGAAGTGAGGAGTGACACGGGTCACACCCATACATACTTCACACCCCCTAGGACGGGGCCACTTTACCTGGTGCGTCAGACAATACCTGCTCGTAAATTGCGCAGAGACGCCAATCAGAGGTACTAGCGTCATCCTAGTGGCTGCTCCAGCAGAGAAACTCTGCCGGTCACTCGTCCACGCCTCGACACACCTACGCCCCTCTGTCAACACGCCCCCTGCTCTCTAGCTCCAAGCCAGGCTCTCAGGCCTCAGGCTCTCCCATCAACTCTAACCCACTGGCCCGCTGCTCATGTCGAACTCAAGAATAGACGGTGCATTGGTGGATCCATGGCTAAGACATGGCAAGCCGCCCATCCCTGCTCTGCTAATGTCCAAGACGACTGGGGTGTCCTTGGAGCCACCGGCCATGGTGGATGCTCCACGCAACGCACTTTGACAAGGGTACGTAGCCGTAGCGCTAACATCATTTCGCCTCGTTCCTCATCGGGGTGGTGGCAGTCATTATCAACCACCCATATCCCACCGCAATAGAGCTTGCCAAATTGATCTTGGAACTTCAATCACCAACGCTTCCTCCACGCTCCCCCCCGTCGAACTCTTCACATCTCTTCACGATCTTCGGGAAACTGGATCCTCAGCTACCCTTCCACCTCCGTCTCAACAACGACCGACCTTCACCGACCTCACCACCCATCCCGTCTCAGGCGACCATAACGTGTTTGACTCGTTGACTCGACGTCTTCCACCTCGACAATTTTTTTTTTTTACTTCCTCATACGATCCATAGGACTTATCAACCCAATAGGCCCCAGGATAATAAACCAGGTTTTTGCTTTTGGACTCCCAGGACATACCACCCCGAAGGACAAGGCCGTTTCTACTTTTCCTTCTTATTCTCTTACACCTGGATCTCGTCCTCGAGACCCATTTCAGACCGCTAGAGAAAGGATTCCCCATTGGACCCGCCAAAATCACAGAACCATGCAGCATGTATCAGGATTTGGCTATCCCACCCCGCCCGCGTCGCCGGTGTACGACAACGCAAAGTGTTCGATTCAACAACCCATCACGACAGCACCTCACTGCCAAGCACGATATGTCCCGTTATCACCAGAGGCAAGACTTGGAAGATTCCTCGAGGGCAAGTTGCAACTGACAACCATCCTGGGTACTGGCGCATATGGCGTCGTCTATGCCGCAGTGGATGTCAAGACCGGAGTCCGTTACGCCGTCAAGTGCCTCAGTAAATTCAACCCAGATGGAACCCCATTGGATCGTCGACAAGTTGCCTTCCAGAACCGAGAGATTCGTCTGCACTACTTGGCCTCGGCCCACCCCAATGTGGTGTCGATGCTCAAGATTGTCGATGACCCGGACTGCATCTACGTTATCTTGGAATATTGCCCGGAAGGTGACCTGTTCTTCAACATCACCGAGTGCGGTCAGTATGTCGGGAATGACGACCTCGCCAAGAGAGTCTTCCTGCAGGTCTTGGATGCCGTGGAGCATTGTCATTCTCTCGGAATCTACCATAGGGACTTGAAGCCGGAAAACATTCTCGTTTCGGACCAAGGATCAACTGTCAAGCTTGCCGACTTTGGCCTCGCAACCTCATCCGACCGGTCAGAGGACTACGGATGCGGCTCAACGTTTTACATGAGTCCAGGTAGGCTACTCATTCCCAGGAACTTTCCTACCTCTTCATACCCCCTGATCACCACTAACTTGTCTCTTCTTTCCTTTTCTTAGAATGCTTGGACCACTCCGCGCGGAAACCTTACTACTTGTGCGCACCCAATGATGTCTGGAGCCTTGGAGTCATTCTGGTCAACCTGACCTGTGGACGCAACCCGTGGAAGCAAGCCTCATTCGAGGACTCTACTTACAGGGCTTACACCCGATGCCCGGAAACTTTGAAGAGCATTCTCCCCGTGTCGGATGAACTGAACGACATTTTGGGGAGAATCTTCACCCGTGTCCCGGATCAAAGGATTACTCTATCCGACCTGAAGGCAAGAATCCAGAATTGCTCTAGGTTTACCATGCCGGCGACGCCGACAGCTGTGCTTTCGACTACTCCCGTTTCGCACGAGCATATCACCGAATACGTTAACTGCGAGGATACGATTGTCGACGACTACGACAACGCCCTCTCACCCGCCTCCTCTTCCTCGGACGAGGGATCTACTTGTTCATCTGACGACGGGTCACTCACATCAAGTGGTTCGACTATCGACGATCTTGACGAGGACTTCCTCCAGGAACAACAGGAGACTATGGAATGCCACACCCAAACATATGAACCAGAGGATACCAGCACAGCCTTCTTCCCCATTCAGGACTATGTTCCCCAACAGTACAGTGGACCGGTACCATCGCAGCTCGCCGGACAGGAGCCTTTCCGCGTTCAGATGCCTGTATCGACACCGGCACCTGCCCAGGCTCAGTTACAGGCACCTAGTTGTCCGTCCAAGTCTTTCGTCCAGTTCTGGTGGGGAGATGTGTTGAAGTATGCTCAGCAGGCCCCTGCTATTCATCCTCACATTCCCTTCCACCATCAAGTTCCCGTCTTCTCGCACCCGCAAGGCTGCTACTAGAAGCAATATCCGTTACGCCAACCCACAACCAGGACCATTCACCGACCCCATGTGTTCTACAGATATGGCGACATCAACTCAACAACAACTAATCAACGTTTGATCCTATGGAAAAGCCAATTCCTGAGGATACCTAATTCGTTATGAGATGTGTGGGCCACAATTACCTTTTGGATTTGACCCCCTGAAATGGACTGGATTATCACAACGTCCAGCGAAAAAAAAGCCTGGAATTTTGACTTCTACTCCATGGCGCTTGTATACTTGTCGGAGCGGGTTTTTGTTTGATGAATTTTTTTCTCCTTGTTTTCAGCGCGGAGTTGGGAAATGGAAAGCACAGAGTTGACGGTGTTTCAATGTTATCGAAAGGTTTGAAAAGCATACTTACTCGGCGCAGTGAGGGGACAAAGACAAAGGAAGCAAGAATTCTTTTCACGACGATTCACTAGGGCGGGATATTTTATTCTGATGCATCAGTGCGCAAGCACTTTGGGAGAGTCGTCCTTTCGCAGGGCGGGTTTCCCGGCATCATCATGGATGATACCAGATTCTTTTTTCAAAATATTCTTCTCATTTTTTTTCTTCTTGGATGGGTTTGGGTCTTACAGGAGAGAGTGTAACTGATTTCACTCAAGCAAAGGAAAAGAAGGTTTAGACAATACCTGGGCCAACAACCCACTTTCCGGCGGCAAAGACCTTCGCTGAACGGAAACTCAAAGTTGGGGAAGAAAACCAACCTACAAGACGAGCTTGGGCTAGGGACAAGCACCAGAGACAAAATCTGGCTGCCCAACAATGAATATGAATATGTATATTCAAAAACCCTAAACCAAAATATTGACCTGCTTTTACACAAATGTGACCGGTGTCTTCCAAGTTGTACAGGTTGTACATGAGGAACTCGATAATGAAAATGCACTTCGCAACCAATTGGTGCTCAGCTAAGAGAACGTGTCGGGACGGGACGGTGGGATGGGATAGTGGTTCTCTCATTTGTTTCTACGAAATGCCTGAAAAGTGCGTTCTTTGTCTGTTATGGTTCTTCCAGAATGTCTCAAATATTTCCATTCAGGTTTTACGAGAAGAGGGAAAAGCCCCTCTGACAACTCTGAGCAATGGTTCTTCCCTGCACTCTTCATCTACGGTCTACCCTGTACTGGAATCAGACGTCCCTTTCACATCCCAATGCGAGAGAGAAGAGCAGGAGGGAATGCGAACCCTTCCCAACTCAGAGAGGATGCTCCCATCACCAGCCGGCTGTGTGTTGCTTTCTGCGGCCCAAGGCTGGTGCCCATGAGAGTGCCGTGGGCGCCAGAGGCAAGAGGTTTTTTTTTTTTTTTTTTTTTTTTTTTTTAACCGCTTTACTATGTTACAGCGAGTGTCAAGCGGGCGATATCCTTAGGATTGTGTGAGAGAAAATCCCGCTCCATTCTGACGTTTCTACAACATCATCCTGTTTTCCTTCCTTAGGAGGATGATTTGGTCTGGCCTGGTTGGGCTCTTTGCTCAGGGCAAAGTATGCACATGTGTGATGCGAGCAAGACAGGAGGAGGGGGGAGGAGCCTAACTGCAATACTGACTGCACAAAGTGCAACATTTCTACGACTGGTGCAACTGCAACG